TAGGTGACTTTGGACCAATCACCAGGAGACGGGGAGTTCTAGTCCCGCCTTAGACAGGAAAGCCGACTAGGTGACTTTGGACCAATCACCAGGAGACGGGGAGTTCTAGTCCCGCCTTAGACAGGAAAGCCGACTAGGTGACTTTGGACCAATCACCAGTAGACGGGGAGTTCTAGTCCCGCCTTAGACAGGAAAGCCGACTAGGTGACTTTGGACCAATCACCAGGAGACGGGAGTTCTAGTCCCGCCTTAGACAGGAAAGCCGACTAGGTGACTTTGGACCAATCACCAGGTGACGGGGAGTTCTAGTCCCGCCCTAGGTGTGAAAGCTCGCTGGGTGGTTTTGGGGCCTGTCCCTCCCTCTTGGCCTGTCCCACCTCGCAGGGTTGTTGGGGGAAAAGTAGGAAGAAGGGGCATTATGTTACTTATAAAGTACTATTAGTAGTAGTAGTCTACTACTAGTAGTAGTCTACTACTAGTAGTAGTCTACTACTAGTAGTAGTATTCGTGAATTTTCAGAGCACCTGGTTTTGAAGTTCCCGCCTCTCGTCTTCTAGGTGGCCCCAAGAAGACGCCCGACACTCTCTCTGCCCCGCTGCTCGGTGCCCATCATCCACTCCCACGCCTCTCGCCCCGAAGAGGAAGCGGCCGTGGGCATCCGAGCCGCCACGATGAGTCACCTGCAGCCGGGCTAAATTGAGACCAACGAAACAAGGAAGTGGGCCGACGGAAAGTTTGCCAAAGAGAGGATGACGAAGCCCATGCTTCCCTTGTGACCCCCCCCCCTCGAGGGGGAGGGGTGGATGATGGGCTTTCCACTGCTACGAATTTAGACTTCCGGAATGAGATTAAAAGTCATTGAAAGTCTCCCTGTCTGTCTCTCTTTCTCTCTCTCTCTCCAGAGTTGGAAGGGACCCAGGAGGTCCTCTAGTCCCACCCCCATCTCAGGCAGGAGACCCTGACAAGTATAACAGGTGGAAGGGATCTCGGAGGTCATCTAGTCCAATCCCCTGTTCAAGCATACAGAATAAGAGATTGGGACCTTGGAGGTCATCTAAGTCCAACCCCCTGCTCAAGCAGGACACCCTGACAGAATAATAGGTGGAAGGGATCTCGGAGGTCATCTAGTCCAACCCCCTGCTCAAGCAGGAGACCCTGACAGAATAATAGGTGGAAGGGATCTCGGAGGTCATCTAGTCCAACCCCCTGCTGAAGCAGCAGACCCTGACAATAATAGGTGGAAGGGATCTCGGAGGTCATCTAGTCCAACCCCCTGCTCAAGCAGGACATCCTGACAATAATAGGTGGAAGGGATCTCAGAGGTCATCTAGTCCAACCCCCTGCTGAAGCAGCAGACCCAGACAGAATAACAGAGTTGGGATCTTGGAGGTCATCTAGTCCAACCCCTTGCTCAAGCAGCAAACCCTTACAGAATAACAAGAGTTGGAAGGGATCTCGGTGGTCATCTAGTCCAACCCCCTGCTCAAGCAGGACATCCTGACAATAATAGGTGGAAGGGATCTCAGAGGTCATCTAGTCCAACCCCCTGTTCAAGCATACAGAATAAGAGATTGGGACCTTGGAGGTCATCTAAGTCCAACCCCCTGCTCAAGCAGGAGACCCTGACAGAATAACAGGTGGATGGGATATCGGAGGTCATCTAGCCCAACCCCTTGCTCAAGCAGAAGATCCTGATAGAATAACAAGTTGGAAGGTCCTTGGAGGTCATCTAGCCCAACCCCCTGCTCAAGCAGGAGACCGTGACAGAATAACAGGTGGAAGGGATCTTGGAGGTCATCTAGCCCAACCCCTTGCTCAAGCAGGACACACTGACAGAATAACAGGTGGAAGGGACCTTGGAGCTCATCTAGTCCAACCCCCTGCTCAAGCAGGAGACCCTAGACCCTGTCGGCCCCGACGGCTGTCCGTCTTAAAAACCTCCAGTGTCGGGCGCAATCGCCACCACCAGAATATATTGAATTAATTGGCATTTTCATTCCCTACATCTTGGGGAGATACTCCCCACTTGCTCTCCGGCTGAGCTTCTCTTAGTGGTGGTGGGTCTTCGGTCCCCACAGGCCCCGCCTTCGAAGCCCCTTAGCGACCCCCCCCATCCAGCGGGCTCTAGGGTGGGGCATCCCGCCCGTCTCTGGCGAGGAAGAGGAAGCAACGTTGCCGCCCGCAAGCCCAAACCACAACGATTGTGGCAACAGACTTCGGGCGGAAGAGGGGCAGGGCGAGAGAACAGAAGTAAAATTGCTCCCCGTAGAAGAGACTACTATTGTGTAGCTCCGGGTTGAACTGTGGGGGTCCTGGGTGCTCTCTTGAGCTTGGGGAGGGGGGGTTGTTTCTGCACAGACGTCTCGTGACCCAAGTAGGGAACGTCATCAGTGCTAGAAGGGAGGAGGAAGGAAGGACTGTGGAGTCCCTGGTGCTTTCTGAGCTGGGTGCTTTCCTTGCAGACGTCTCGTGACCCAACTAGGGAACATCATCAGTGCTATGAGTGGGTAGGCTTTGCCGAGAGGAAGAGAAGGAGAAAGGAGGAGAAGGAGGAAGGAAGATGGAAGGAGGAAGGACTGTGGAATCCTTTATGTTCTCTGAGCTGGGTGCTTTCCTTGCAGACGTCTCATGACACACCTAGGGAACAACATCAAGGCTATACGGAAGGGGGGAGTTATGGAGAAGAGAAAGGGAGGAAGGAGGG